TTAAGAACTATACACTAATCAGTCGTTAACAGAGTGACTCAGCAATACCTTCCTGAAATTGGAATTTGATACGAAATAAATATGTAAAACTGAAGTTGTTTGTTCTCGTTGAAGCAGGATTGGAGCATTTTCGGGATGTGTGAGATCGAATAGAACACACAGCTCTCGCTGGGTTCGGGCTATAGCGCCTACTTGCGAGCGGCGCAACGCGTCGCCAACCGCACGTCCTTTAGCTGCCTGCTCGTCTGAACTCTCTCAACTACACAAGGGGACACACCCACAGAATGAAGAGTTTTTAATTTCAAACTAGAGCAATGGGTAAACACAAATATCACAATGGGAAAGAGTGCATCCCTGCATCGGTCCTACTACAGGGGAGTAGAATGTGTCTTGAGGTGTGCCGGATAACGGTGTAATAAATGTTCGACCACTTTTTGTAGGTGACTCCTTTGATTTCCAAGCTTTTAGTCGATAGTACTGCATTTTATAATCATTTTCTCCATACAGTTCATTTTCACATAATAATTAACAAAAATTGAATAGGAAATGCGTCTTGTTTACTTATTTGTGATTAATTCACTAACAGGAATTACGGATACGCAAGGCTGAAGCTGTAAAACTGGCATGAACAGAGCTTTCTTACAAACAGAAGAAGACCGCAAAGTAAGTAAGCTAGCAACATAGAGGGATATTATTACTTCCAGATGAGGCAAGGAAAAGAAAGAAGGAAGGAAGATTCGGTGAAATCAGAAACATCACAAAAGAAATGCTAGTGAAGCGTATCACAGCACCTCTCGGGGAAAATATCGGAAGAGAGAAACTTCAATGGAGTGGTATTCATGTGCTAGGTTCGGGTCTGGTGCAGTAGGATCGAAACTGTCGCGTCGCGGCGAGAGGGACGCCGCGTGCAACGGAACGTAGCGGAATGCAGCAGCAGGTAAGAAACACAGGAACAAAAGAACAAACACTAAATCATGCCAATAATAATAATCGCATATCGATTAAGTCAAATGAAGAACGCCAGAACTGCAATAACGAGATGAAAGGCCCGCGACTGCCGCGCCTGGCGAACTGCTTAGACAAATCTGATCCTACTGCCCGTTTCCCGCTAGGTTCTATTTACCCATCAAATGCACAGCACACGCTCATCAGAGCCCGAGTACCAAGAGTGTGCGGGTTTCTACATGAACTCTGTGCCACGCACGCCACGCCCAATTGCGAGCAGTGCGTGCGCAGTGAAGAGGAAGATTTGATTTCCCTATGGAAAGTTATGGTAGTTGCAGTGAAAGTATTGAGGGGTTGTCTTCGGAATTCGGGTACAAGAATAGCCCACCAGAAAGAAGTTCACTTCGGTAATTATAATAAAGTGAAATGAATCAATACCTATAGTCAAACCGTACATACAACGGAGCTAGTCTATGGGATTATGGTGAGACAGTTAAGGACTATGGAATGTAAAAGCGTTCTAGAAGACGCAGCAAAACGGCGTCACCAGGGCCCTTCTTTACCAAGTACGGTATTATGCATCCATTCGTCGAGTTTTTCTACATCGTAATGAATTATAACATGGATTATCGATCGTGATTGATCCACTGGATGAGCTGCAAGATAGTCAGATACTGAGCCGTCGTATTCTTTGATCACAGCGTGCATACAAAAGTCGCCGGACACTTGACCTCTGAAAATTGTTAGGTTCAGAAGGAGGTTTACAGTTCACAAGCACGAAAAGCGGTTTCTTTTTTTCTTTGATGTCACGGGTTTGAGAGGTGGGATTCGCCCTCGAATCCTGCCCCGCACATGACAAATCGTTGAAAGTGATATTGTGGTAGCAAATTGCAGTGACCGTAATCACCCATTGAATTAATGCCAATCATTTCTTTCATATCTAGCACATACGTTGCTAGCTCCATTAGACCACTGAATTTCTGGGACACTCGGCAATATGAGACCTACCATACCAATCATAATCCCCGAGCCTAGGGTTAGTTATCATCCTGGGACCCACTCCGGAAAGAAGACGTAGGCTACAGTCAATTTGAGACAGCACGATAGTATAATGATATTGTTTGAGTTTTGTTGGACATTGGACTAACCTTTTCACATCAGACAGCTCTACACCGAGTCGTGAATCGTTTGTTCCCGTAGCTATCGCTTTTTCATTGATTGCAATGGCGACCGCGATCTCCTCGCCGTGACCGTCCTGTCGAGCGTGTTTGAACGTCGCGCTATCCCCTAAGAGAACCATGAATCAGAAAACAGCACATGAAAAAATGTGGTCGTAGAGTGTAATAATCAAATTTGTTCCTGCGTAGTACCCCACATTCTCCGCTTCTTGCCATCCGGCCACCCAAGTAACTGTGACAGTGAGCTTGAACCCAAACTAATCGGTGGAAAAGAGAAATGAGAAACTAGGCTAGTGTAGTACTTATGGAAGAGCCTGAGCCTATAGTTGAACGGAGAGGAGCTGTAGCCAGTGGCAGAAGGCGACTCTTTTCCCCCAAATCAACCCTAGAAGTTCCAATAATCCACTCCACCAGAACCAATCGATTCATTCTAATTCCTCACATTAATTATAAATTGCTTTTTGAAGGAACCTTCGTAAGTGGTGCCATTTAGGTAGCCTTACTATCACACTTTTGTTCTTTTGTAGAGTAGCGTTTTGAAGGTGACCATAATTGTACAGTTTGCGTTCATACACTGAGCAGAAGCAAGAACTAACCGATATTTGTAGCCAAATAAAGGAAAGACGCCAATGGAGTATTTATTTTGAGATGAGCTTGGAAGTCAACTATATCTCCATCCTAAAATAGAAGCTTTGGAAAGTTCTCCACATCAGGAAACGGTGCAAACAGTGAGAAATGAGCTCCTTTGCAAGCTAGGGGGAGTAGTGAGTGTCCAAGGAGTAACTACCTTTTACATTACTCTATCCATACTTTATTAATGTAATCAGTTTCTAGGGTACGTCAGGAAGATTCTTAGATAACAGATGAACAAGGCAAAGAGCAGCTTGGAAGACTTGGTAAGCCCTTACTCGAGTCGTCTGCTTCATAAATCAATGTGGCTGCCCATCTGAGCTTCCCTTTTTGAAGGCTCTCTTCACCGAATCGAATCGATCGATTGGCCATTACCAGAAACCGAAACAATAGGGATTCCAAGAGTTCTGCACATACGTTATTTCCAATCGCATATGCATATTCCCACGGTACCATAGTGATCGGAGTGTTCATCTCTTCCATGACAATCTTTGCTGCTTCCGGGTCAGCACCAAAATTGCACTCGGTGAAAGCGGCGTCGCAGACAATCGAACCTGGACATAGACTGTGACTGATGATTCGGGACCTTGTGAGGCATACACACACCAAACACTTCCATTGAACTCACCAAAATGGTTTCCTCCAAAAATGACAATCTTTTGCAAGCGTTTCGCGAAGTTTTTGTCAATTTTGTAAGCCAATGCTACGTTCGTTAACGGTCCTATACACACCAAGGTGACACCATCGTGTTCCGTTGTCAAGCGTATCAGCGCAAATGCTGCCGATTCAGCCTCGTGCATAGTGAAATCCGTAGGAGAAACCTAAACTGATGCAGCCCTAATGAAACAATTGAACTTATAAACTAGTAATAGGCGCGAAAGTATACAGGCTGCGTGACATCAAATGATTTTCCCATTTAACGTAGCTTATAGCAATTGTGTATTCAATGGAACGCACCTACATAGAATGGAACATCACTTGCCATGTTGTCCCCTCGGCAGCTTTAGAAGGCTCCACCCAACTGTGCTTCACATCTTAAAAGCTGATCGCTAGAGTCAGAGGAGGTTATCGTAAGGCAGCTGTAAGGACCTATAGTGGCCTTAAGAAGCGATTCTGAGCTAGCAGAATGGAGATTCCGGCCTAAGCCTATGGAGGGGGAACACGGGGTAAGTGGAGTGATGAATTCATGGAATGCAAAAAAGTTGGAATGGAAGTGAATTCGGCGAGTGAGATAGTACTTCCCTGATAGGGCGCAGACAAGGGCGCAGGAACGCTTTCCTCCCCTCCCCGCCCCCTCCCCTCCCCCCTATGTTCCCACCGCTTCTCTCATCGAACGAATACCCTGTTGCTAATGAATATGCAGCAAGCGTCCAGGGCGGGACTTTCATCTATGATTTGCTAACGTCTTGACGCTCCAGTTAGACAGTATTCCTGAAAATAGGTAAGACAAGTCAGTAAGTTACTTGTGGAAACAGATCAGGTCGATCGCCGATACCATCTGTTCCAAGGCGTGGATACATCAGCAACGACTTTCGTCGTAAGAGTGCATCTGAAGCTCCCATGTAGACGGGAATGAGTTTCTGGAACATTCATTTGGGAGATGTACTTCCAGGTTCATTCTGTGTGAAGAAATCAGTTTTACCTCTAGAAGATTGGCTCGTTGAACTCGTGCCACATTGGCCGTCGCCTGCTCTACCTTCACACATCCATGGACAGTGGTGATGGCGATCAACTGAACATTGGTAAGGGTGAACCGAATGTTCAGTAAAAAAGTGAGATTTCCAGATGCCAAAAAAAAGTGAGGGGAATCCTTTTTAGAGCTGAAATTGCACCATCTGCGATCGTCCATATCCTTCGTGCCAGTAAGCCAAAAATATGGACGGGGCGAATCCCAGTAGAAATGGACGGTCACTGCTCCGTAAAATTCCATATTTTCGATCAGAAATCGCTTTCACTAGGTTTTTAGTGTCTGGCTGGGTCAGTGCCACAAAGATTGCAAAACCAAGTGCCCGATCGGTTCTCATCCATCAGCTTCCCCACTTGCTCTTACCCTTTTCGCTGAGAATGGCTAGCGCCTATAAAGCTTAGAGGTATAGTTATGATATTTGAAGCTTGTTGCTTCCTTTTGTACTCCATCACTACTAAGACTCGGGCGATGGGGATCTTTTTTGACTAGAAGTTGCTTCGTTTCAGGACATTTTGTAGAACCCAAGCGGCAATGAAAACATTGTAGATTTTTGTAATACTTCTAATAAGTGTCGTGAATGCTACTAAAGGGACGATCACAGCGCCTTCTTAGAAAACGAAGCCTGTGAAGAAGATGAAGGACACAACTGTTTTTGCATCCGACTGATCAATTCATTTTAGGGTGTGCCCAGTCTCATTTGGAAAGAAGCTACTTGAGCGTATACTTCGCCTGAATAATAAATTGTTGGAGCGAACCAGTATCTAAGCCGTTGCGCTTTATTCTTCCCATCTGGTCATGTACCTGATAAAAAGAATCCTGAGTTGGGGCAACCTTCGTATGTCCGGGTGGGTAGTGACCAGAGATTTGATCTCAATCAATATGTGCTATGGCGTGGGCGAACAGTATGTAAGCAGCTCCACTAAGCAAATTCTCCGCCGAGGGGACAAGGCTATACTTTAGCATTTGTTGAATAGTTTAATTAGAGCTTCGAATTCCCGAATACACCATAATATGGGACTTCAGAGCGGGAATTGAGGTTTTCTAGCCACTCCTTACGAAAAAACATTAATAGTCACAAAAAACTGAACTGGAATTTCACAGAAATTGAAGCTAATAAACTTTTTCAAGGGAAAATCACGTTTATAAACATTTTTAATAGTATTGTAACAAATGAACTCAACGAAGCAGACCATACCTCTACGTCAGGGTGTTGTATTGCTAGCGAAATTGCTCGCATACTACCATTGACTCCATCGGTGTCTATGAATACCTCTATCTTTACAAAATTAGCAATTTAATCCTTTGTTAATTACTGGCTTATTCTTAATAGGGGTGGAGACTGAATTAATATTCATGAAAGTTCTTCCACATCTGACCGTAACTACGCAATTAAAGGAAAGGAGCGGATAAAGGGATAATTTTGAAAGTATGACTTAAAAAGAAGAGGTAATAGAACTTGTCAATATTTAAATTCAAACTAACTGGTAAATTTAAAGTTACTTTATGTTGCAAATTCGAATTTCGATCTGTATAGATTAAAATATTCGAAGAACAAACATTGCGAAATGAAAAGCCTAGTACCACATCAACGCTCTGGGATAGGCTGCTTTCGACAACCCCTCAGAATCGTTTTGGGAAGGATTATGAGGTTATGCGAGCATAAAAGGTTGAAACGATGAAACTTCTGGCTTCAACCAACTCCGTTTTTGAGATTGGGATGTTTTTGGGATGTGTACTGGACTTCCATTCATTTTTCGTAGTGGCACTTTTGAATGCGTATATGGCTTATAAAATGTATTGCGGTGGTTAGCTGATGTTCTGCGAAATTACCACCTGAGGAGTCTGGTACCAATAACCCGACTCCAAAGAGGTGAGAGGCTTGCCATGTCTGGGACCATGCGTACGTGGTAGTGGCCACCTGCAACTATGCCACCCGCCCCCACGAAACATGGCTCGGGAGAAAATTTTGAAAGCCTACTCGACAAAGGCAAAACTGAAACCAAGGTTCGATTGAAGTAGCTTGCGTTTTGGAGCGAAGATGAATGTCAACAGCTGTTGTCGCTATTACTTTTCATTACAAAAGTATTCTGATGAAGTTTTGACTCACCTATGATCATCTTCATTTTCGTTTTGTGAAGAATATTTCCTATAGTAACCAAAAAAATATAACAAGGAACGGGGACTCGTTCTAATAAACGGCACTGCCTAAACAACTGATAAGAAAAAACTTCAAGCACCACTGGTATCAATTATAAGCCTTACTCCGGACTGATAAGATGGGCATAGAATGTTTGTCAACCTGGAAATAGTCGCTGAGTAGATATTGAACTCGAAAGAAATGTCTCTTGTCCCGTTGCAGATGTTGAGATTTTGCACTGAGGAATTGGTCGGTGGCTGTCGAATAAGTTGCAAAGGCACATAGGAGTAAAATTAGGTGTGGTCATTACCAAGTTGAGGTTTCTTCAATCAACAAGCAGACTCTAATCAAAATGTCTCTCGAACCACGCTTAGAAGCATGATTATGACCGAAATCATTTCCTCAGCTTATGATCTTCAAACATACTCATACCCCTCTCTAGGTCTATGCCTGAGAGAACCTCTAAACAGTTCAAGCACTTTTGCAACCCTTCCTAACTAAAGCGGCTTAGACGGTCTGTTGAAACACATGAAGGAACAGTCGCACTAATATCTAATTGTAAGCTGCTTCGATTCTTCCCCAGTTCTTCCGCAATTGGTTTCTGTACCGCCTTTCCGTTTCCATCCAGATAGGGATAGTCCCTTCTACTGTCGAATGGTCACCAGCCCAAAGAGAGGGCGCACGACAATCGGATGAGGTTCCCGCGCGATCAACGAGAGAAGCGCAGTGCCGCCGTTCCAAGCAACCGCTGTATTTTGGCGGTTGGTAATTGCCTTACAAAAGGGTCAACCTTTTATGGGGCGACTATTAATCAAGAAGGAGGCACTGTTCATTTTAAGAATCAACAACGTCACCTCTCATGCACACATTTTCTCCTAAGTATCAACAGGCGATGATGGTTCGTTAGGTACAGCAATGTGAGTTTAGGAAGTTCTCTGTGACTGTCAGTCGTCGCCTTCACGAACCATTAACCAGGTCCTACCTAGCCCATCTGAGCTCTTCATTCCGCACAATGAACTGAATGCCACCAGTCTCATCCCGAGAGGGCCGAAACTCTAACAACTCCATCCTTGTAAGCTTAATATGGTTCGACTATCCAGACCTAATGGCCAGCATACAGCAATATGTATGACTCCCTTGGGAGAAAAGATTGATAACACCCAATATTCTACCCCATGCATTTTCGGCTATAAATTTTATGAGGTTCCCTATCGGCTAAAGTATGTTTCCCAGTCAACTAGCGTTGCCATAGATACGACTTGGCATAATGCCAACACCTGGCAATCCTTCGCTCTAGCTCCCTTGTGCTGCTTTTTTAGAATCTTTTACCGATATGCTATTTCTTTCGACATAGCTTTTATTTATAGCTCTGTTCAAACATCTGAGATAAGCCAAGAAGCATCTGGTGCCAAACAAGAGGCAAAAATGGAATCGGGCAGCGTATTCGACTTCTCCGGTTCAGCAAAGATGATGCGACTCAAGTAAGGATTTTCAGAATTCTGAAAAAAGATAGCTCTCTAAAAGTCACAATTTCAGGGTAACCCTGATAGAAAAAGGCCTAAATGCCAATTCGAATGGAGTGCCTACTGAAAGTCTTACGGGAACGTCCATAAATCGTACCGTTGATGAGCTAAACCTTCAATGGCAGCAGAAAGTCTCCTCGCACTATGAGCTCGGGAACATACAACAAGAGTAACATTTTTGCTTACAAACTCATCTTTCCTTTTTTTTAAATGGTGTTGTTCATTTTTACCAAAAAAAAAACTTTCAAATTTTGTCGATTGCGACGGCTGGGATCGAAATTGTTCTCTTCCACAAATTTGATCCAAAAGCACACCATATTTAAAGAGCTTTAACGCAAACTATTTTAATTTTTGCTGGTTTTTTAACAAGTAGCATCTTTTCACTGATTAACTGCAATGTTCGAATGCCCATTTGCAGTTCAACACGAGCTGAACCGCGATTGTTTACGTATGTGGAAGGAGAAACGTTGCCCGAACGCTTCAAATCCATTGGCCTTCCATCAAGCAGCGCTGAAATCGCCCCAAAGACTGGATATGAGTTGGTTTTTGTTGGCATATTTGAATTCTATGATCGATATGAAAGCGAACGGTTTGCATTACATGGAAGCTAGGCGCGGCAGTCGCGGTGCGACAATTTTGGGAGTATGTAGCTCACATGGCCCTGATCCCTCACGTCCTTGGCTGTTAGTCCACCTATAGCATTGGCCTATATTTTTGTTCTGAAGGCTTTTGTGCCTATGAATAAAGTCCATTTATGTCCATTGAAGGGAGCTGGATTGCATTGACGTCATAATATCCGTTAAGAACGCTTCTACAAGGCTAATCGAAGGAAACGGGGTTGTTAAATTTGGAAGAGTTTGATCCTTCACTCCACACATTGTCCTGCACCTAAATAAAATAATCACTAACAGTCCAGATCAAACTCAAATCCGTTAAAGGCACGGTTCACGATAAAAATGGTTACTGAGTTCAACTCTTAGGAATACACAGTTGCTCATATGGGTGGTAGAAGGGTCCCTCTCGCTCCCATAATCTCGGCGGTCAGGGCATAGTTGAAGCCTTGTTGCTGCCCGATTCGCTTTCCCGCCTTTCGATCGATGTCACGTTAGACGAGTGTCCATGCATTGCAGATTACGAATATTCGTTCTAGGACCCACACACAATCAACTGATCGCCGAGTGATGAAGCGATGTTTTTCTCCCATCCTTTTTTTCTCTGTTATTCTTTTGCTGCCGCGATCCCTTTTTTAATTTTCTACCCCAAAAGGCTGAAAAAGGTCAGCTATTTTTGCTGTAACTAGGTTTTTTGTTTACTTGTGCTTATAAGTGTATGAATTTTCGCTTACCGTAGTCTGTTACTCGCACCGCGACCCACAGATACGCAATGACGCGCTGTGCGTAGCTGGTCCAAACGCCCCACTCTTCTTCAATCTTCTGGTCTCATTCTCATCCAGCCCCCTTTGTAACAAATTTTTGAAGCATTTTTTCACTTCGCAAACACCTGTTCACGCAGTTTCTTCGCCTTCAACGCACTATTTTCCATCTCATCTTCCATTTTTCGTCATAATCTGGGTTACCCAAAATTATCATGAACTGTGCCTTTGGGCAATTTCTAACGGGCATCCCTTTAAAGTGAAGTGCGCTGATCAGTTGAAATTTCAGAAAATGGATTGCTCATAATGCTGTCATCGATTTGCCTCTGAGACGGAACCATCGAGCGATTCGATGTGACAAGAAAGTAATGTACATCATGGCCTATCTTGGAAGTGTGTCTAGGTAAGGGTCTTTCAGGCTGTGGGGAAATGCGAAATACTCGACGACGAACTGTATGTGAGCATGACGGATCCTAAAGCTGAAATGATCGGCAAACTTTTCTCAAGTGACTTTTCAGCACCTACGATCAACGAGATGAATACGTTGTCTGCCGAATCACGTTGCTCAATGAACGGTCTCTGATATTCGAACCACGACTGACACTCGACGGTTACCGTATCCAAAGTAAAATGGGAGAATACATAGCCACTGTACAAATTTGGGACGATTATTTCACGCCAATGGTAGATCAATTTAATAAAGTAAGCCTGGTAAGTGATGGGGTGGAACTATATACGTGACAGGATTTATTTTTCATGCTTACAGTAATTCCCTACCGTACTTCCTCAACTTTTAGGTACCACCAATACCTGAGACACAACAGTTTGAAGTACCAGATGAGGGCTCTACAAAATTTGTTTCAATGTTGTGTATTGGTGAGTTATGAGAGAATGCGCCATGTTTCGATTTCTGCTTGATTTTTTTTAAGAATTCGATTTATTTATTCCGTCAGCACATCACATTTCGGGATCTTTTTGAATAATATTATCACATATTCTTAACCAGACCTTCACAATTCAAAAATGGAGTGCTCATCAAGTCTTAGCTTTGTTTTGATTACAGAAAACTCTGGCCTAACCTGAATCGTGCAACACTTCTAATTATCGCCAATTTTTGTTATTACGTAAATCTTTACTTTATTCTTCTATTTTTAAACATCCCGCAAAGCACCTGAAAAATTTCAATAATATCTTACAAACCATAAATTCGACTACTTGAATTTGTCATTTTAAGAATACGCCGAAGACTTTGATTATGAAAATGTATGGATCGAATATATGACTTATTTTCCTAGCGGAGTGACTTGTACCTCAAACAATACTGAAGGACAAACTTCAGCCTGTTCAATGGATGAGGTCAGCGATGTTAGTTTTTTCATTTTAAAAATTTTCAGATTTTTTTGTGATTTACCAATAGAGTGAATCAGAAAGACCACAGATTCACCCATACTTTTCCTCGTTCTTGACAACTAGATAGATACGATTAGCAACTCCATATAAAATTATCGCCAAGCGAAGTTCCATTGGCTTTCAACCATTTGACGTTCCTATTCTATGTAGAGCTGCGATTGCTCGAATTTCAACCGGTCCAAATTGTGTTTTCCGTGATTTTTCTCGATTTTTTCGAAATGGTTGAAAGCAAAAACTATCTCGGCACGACTACCCTACTCGAACTAGACGAGGGTGTGCCGAAGTCTAGTTCCGCGATGCCCTAGATCTTTCTATCTTAACGTAGATGTTTCCTCTTTTGTTCATTGGATGCTCTCATGTTGGAAAGGATGGTAACAGTCCAACCTAAAGAGTTTGTGGTTGAAACGAAAGTTTTCACCAGAGAAATCTCATAGAGATCTGAAAGATTCACGTTCAGGACGGTCGTTTCCACTTCTCATTCACCATCGAATTAGACTTCACGGCCGCCGACATTTCCTCCTATCATGTGCGATTTCGGGTTCGCTCAGAAGATTTCTGGGGTCGGCAGTATCTGGCTGGTTATGGCAGTCTCACACCACTTCTTCGGCCGGGAAGGTATTCTTCAGGAAATGAATAGCCTTGAGCTACGATTGCTTTTTATGAGGTATTTTTTTCAGAACAGATTATCGTGTCGAATGTTGGAGACCGATAAAACCCGATGATCCAGTCAGTGAACTGCGCGAATTCTTTATTGGTCAAGCAATCGATATCGATTTTTTCAATTTGAAAGAGGTACTCTATTTATAAAACCATAACGCTCTTGTTAGCCTCAGTGGGGATGACTGTTGTGGAAAACCAGACTCGAAGGCAAGCGCTGTGACCCTTCAGGTTTATTTTCAGCGCAGGACCACTCCGTCTCCTTCCTCACCAGTTGAACTAGATCCTGAAATTCCTGAAACCATGAAATGTTAACAGGGAAATTGGCTTTAAGACGAGGAAGGGCTCTTACCTGGGTAAGCGAGTGTGCAACCCATCTTTACAGGGCTAGTCTTACTAGCGGAAGCTTACCCTGTACTAATGTCGTCCGAAACAAAGCCTGAAATATCCCTGGGCACCCTATCCGAGCTGAGCTGATCAATCTCAGCCTAGTTGAGCTACCCGGGTTAGAGCTTCTTCCGGGAAAGTAAGTCGTTGAATTCTGTGGAGGTCTATGGTCGTTATTGAGGACCACACGATCTCCATTAGTTTTAAATCAACACATGAAGTATCCCCGAGAAAGGAATCCTTTCCCAGTAAATCATCTATATTTTACAGGACGGAGTAATATCTAGAGCAGGAATGACCACGCAATCATCAGGGACTCTTCATGTCTCCGTTACGAATGTACTACAGAGACGGGATTATATTACTAGAGAGACATTAAACCATATGAAGTATGGAGCAATGTTCGATCGTATGGGGTGAGAAATCAAAAACCATTAATCGCATTAATTACAAATTTTTAAAAAATTGATGTTCGATTCAGGATGAGATCCGATCTCTACTGGCGTATCATGAAGGTTCTGATGGAATTTGAAGAAGCGAAACGGCAGCTTCTTGAACTACGTGCAGCTCAATGAATTGATTTTGTGATATTGCTCATTAATATTACCGGCTTTCATAGGTCCAATGTATAGGTGCAAATTTGGCTTTGGTCCAATAAATGATTTATAAGTCGAGTGAGTGCATTCTCAGTGTAGATTATAATAAGCTAAGATGATTTAAGATGAGTTTTGGTCAAATTTTATTTCTTCAATGAGTTAGTCCCGGATCTAGTTGTATCAGGAATGGGCCATGAGCTTCTCATCAAGGTCTGGTGTATCGGTAGCAAACTTATTTGAAAAGGAAGTTTTCCGACCAGCTCTCCGATTCTTGACAATGCCGAGTCTGAGCGGTGCTCCGCGTTGCAGCCCCAAATTCGTGTTTACGCAAATGGAAATGAACAAACAAATTAAATACATATAGCATACCTACTTACCTACTGGGATGCCAGGTACTCTTTAGAAGTAAAATATTGTCAATGAGAGCCTTTGTTAGTCACTTTTGATATACAAGAAGTAGGTGGGTTAGAATACATCCAACTCCTTTCAGTCAGGGTAAAATTACTTGCGAGAACAAATTATCTTCTTCTTTCGTCGGTTAATTCCTCACTGACGGCAGTTCGTCGCTCTCTGCCGTTTGAGACGTCGTGATCCCTTTCAACGACGCTCTCCATCTTACTGAAGCTTCACGTATTCGACTTTCTCATACTTTCTTCGATCTTTCAGCTCAGCTGCATTCATGCTCATCCCCCATTTTCTGGTTTTCTGATGTTCATCCCTTCTATCACACGCTACAGGCCTAATGGTTTGCTTACTCTGAATTTATTCAAAGATTTGAGCTGTGAGTAGCGGACACGATAAGTACCGTGACTGCCACCCTGCCATGCAGTCCCTCAAGGTATCTGAGATATCTTGTAAATTGTGCAGCAGGAAATCAAGGACAAAACTGTTCGTGGAGCCCGAAAACCTTGAAGTTTGCGATACTATGCCACCATTTATTATGTTGGGGTGGGAAGCCGCGGTAGGCTAGCCCTTTTCAGATGTTCTGATAGTATCTGTTAGTTTTGCCGTCAGTTCGAACGGCGAACAACAACAACAAAACAATAACGAGCGTCTCGTTGAAAAAAAGCATCCGCTTTTGCAGAACGCTAATGAGATTACGGTCTGTAATTGGTCATTCGAAGGCTGGATACGACCGCTTCGGGATTTGTTTATGATGCCAATACGAAAGATGATTTCCTCCCTTTTCCTCCGTAAATACCCTGCCGTGCTGTCGGCTTTGTCGCCTGCAATTCCCGCGAACTCGATGAGACGTCTGCAACGTCTATTATATGATTAGAGATCCTGGCTCTAGATGACACCATGGGTTTCGGAGCAATTGGTCCTTCTCTGCGGATCCAACACATCATTTCCTCCAACTTCTCCTTTTTCTATTCCTCAGCATCCTTTCGAGTTGACTTATGCAGCGTGCCATACTTTAAAGTCTTCCGCTGAACGAGTTTACCCTCATGAAAGCTCACCCGACCATAACAATCCTTCGCACAAGTTTTTATCCAACAGCAGGTAGTTTTCAATGAATTCTTCCGGTGTTGTGGAAGTACACCTCCGGAAGACTTTTGATTTCGCAAACCCCATTCTCTGCTGGCTCAATAAGTTTTGTGGCGCTTCAGAAAGCTTTGCTCGCTATGGCTCCCATATCTCTATCATATAATTAGATCTATAGTACTCATTAAGCGCAGAAAAGAGCGCTCAATGCCTGCTATGATTGAATTACATGCCCTGAACTTGTCGGGTTCGTTATTTCTGCCTCAGCTCGCTGGTTTTAGATCCACCATCAGCTCTTTGTTCCACATTCAACAAATTGTGAAGAACTTTGCAGCCAACTGAGTGTGTGGCTTTGGCATATCGACTGGACCAGACTTCTACGTGGCTATGCTGGAGTTTAAGCTCGCTGTAGTTCTTCATTTCAAGCTCATCAACGCTTATATCGCAAAACTGCTTTACTATTTTCAAGAGCTATTACTCTCTGTGGTAGACATTATTCTAGTATTACATTAGCTTCCATCTTGCTATCTTAACAGAACATCCTTTTGTATTTGTTATTTCCTACCCAGAATTATCGAAGATGCTTTAGAACTTGGTATTATTTTGACGACTCTCCTTTACTACTTGGACTACTGTTTATGCTATTCATGACCTTTTCTCCCTACCTCAAGGTTTCCTACAAAGATGACCTGAAATCCTGTATTAAAAAGTTTTGTATTCGTGTGATGGGTAGAACTATCGCTGACAACGACAGTTGCTATGATTTAGTGGGGTGATTGGAGGAGATTCTGAATCAACTGCACACTATTCATCGGAATGATCAATTGGAATCGTCTATGGATTTGAACCCGCAGATTTAGCGTCACTCTTGTATGATTGCATCTAATTCCATTTCACTTCGATACTTCAAGATGAGCTAGGTACTTATAAAAACGATGAAGTCATCACAGTTGGGCAGCGGCTACAGCCCCTCTTCAAGTAGTTGAGAATGAGAGCACAATGCTTGGTGGGAGAAATCTCATTGTTTTGCAACTCAACTGAACTTTTGCTGTTCAAAACCACCAGGTGGAGGTGTTTCTAGAGTAGACATGGTAGCTGTAAACAAATTGAATGAACAAGACTTTTGAAGCTTGTTTTTCGAAACCACTTATACCTTCCAAAGATGGCCATTCTATGGAAACTTTTCGTCAGTGGTAGGCACGTAGAGATGTTCTGCAGCTGGAAGCTCTAATTGATACAATCACAGGGAATTAATCTCATCTTCCTCTCTGTAAATTCACCATAACATTACCATATTCATGAACGGCTCATGCATCCATAATGAAAGGAAGGGTGGCAAAAACAACTGTGAGCCAGTCCTACATTTCCTTCGTTTTCGTTTTTTTCTCTCTCTCAATCAGTCATGAGAAATCAAAGTATTTGATCGATTCTGTATGATCCTTCAATGTTCCAGCCGATGGTCCCTTAAAAGTGATGCTTCTGCACATATCATTCTTACGACGATTCGTCTCACTTCGCCGCAGAAACCAGTGAGTACAAATACTACTTCTATAAACAACTGAGTCAGATTGAAAGAATTACTTATTTGGTGCTTCTAACGTCCAAGAATGAGCCATGTATAAGCACACCGAAAATAATCGCTGAGTAGTTATAAAAATCAGTTGTGAAATCTGATAGTGATAGATAATACTGACTAAGGAATTGTCAAGTGTAACGATCGCCAGCTCAGGTCAGTGTTTCTAACCAGTCCTTGATTTGGACCTATATATCTGGCTGCAGAGGATTCAAAATCCCACCTGTCATAGATAAGAATTGATTTTTCCAGTTGAACGGATCGACGGCATCAACTACTTGGTTGCCCTTTTACTAACAGCTTTTTTCATATTTATTTATGATAGACTTGGACAGTATTTAGAGACCCTCTATATTTTTCTGTTGAACACTCTCAATGAGCAGGAAAAGGAAGCGCAACCTGAGGTGGGGGAAGGGGGGTGAGGGAGGGAAACCCATGTGTGCAGGAGTTAGTGGACAAGCTTTGATGTGCGACGAGACGTCGAAGTAATGAGTTCTACACTATGTCCAAGAGAAGGGTAAAAGGGAGAAATTAAGATGTTATATTGCTAATCATCAAAACATACCTGAAATGAATTAAGACACAGATGTAGATCAATTACTACTCCCCTTCGGGATTGGGCGCGTCCCTCTCGTTTTCTTGGACGTGTTGTCCCATTACCGCTCCCTTCGGGGTTGGGCATGTCGCTTTGGCGCATAAATCAATAATTAGATAATTGCTAATCGATATTGTTGGACATAGAACATAAAAACGAATGTAAGCATTGGAATCGAGGGCACGGACAAAACGATGAACTGGGGTGGAGTCTCGTTACGTAGCGCCCCTACGTCAACTGCGGAGGTTCAGTAGAGCGTTCTACTCCTTTCCGGGTGTGCTTCGTTCCGCGCGTCTGTCAAAACTAGGCCAGTCGCACGCGGTGCGTCCCGCGATTTTTTGTAGACGTCGCAGTTGTCTTTGGCGCACACGATTTGCGCTTGATCCATGGCAGCTTGAATATAAGATACCTATGAGAACGGGTGTGTGTCAAGTCGTGCGTCCGAGGGTGCGCGTGGCAACGTTCGTAACAATTTGAACGACTTTGGCGCCTATCATTGGGGCCCAAACTGGAAGTAGAGTAGATCCGAAGAATCATCTGACTTTACTATACTACTCTACTTTGAGTTTGTGCCCCGAAAATTGGCGTCAGAGTCGTACAAATCATCACGAACTTTGCCGCGCAATTCGCCCTCGGACGCACGTTCGTACTCCCCCCCCCCCCCCCCCCCCCCCCCCCCCCACNCCCCCCCAGACCCCTTCTTCACACCATCACCGCCACTTAGACTGTAGATATGCACCTTGACCGTACACACTGTTACAACGGGATGGAACTTACGGTAACCAGAAGTTTGGGGGCTGCCAATCAGCATCATCAAGGTTCCATAGAGGGCACTAGTAGAAAGTCTAGAGCAAATTCAATGAAGGTAGGTGTAATACTCTACGAACGACTGGTGCAACTGTCTAAAATGGCTGTCCAATATCTATACTTAGACTGTAGGATAAGTTATGGCTTCAATTTCTGATAATCCATTTCTTTTTGAAATCTGAAATGTCAAAGGCACTAATGGATCATGAAAGAAAAGATACGCATAAGAACTGCATAATTTACTGCACCAATTTCAGGGAACGCAAAGCACTTGCCAATCAAAATCCGAGGAACAAAACAGACAAGCAAAAGAAAAAGCCAACAAAAAAGGAACAATGACGGGAATGCAGTTTTCAGCTTTCGAATACTTATGATTACCTGAATGTATTTTCTCGATAAATATCACAATATTTCGAGCTAAAATTTGAACATTGATGATAACGGGTCATTTTATCACTGGAAAGGTAGTCATGGGCTCAAGAAACCATTCGAACAAGTGAAGGCAAACACGAAGTCTAATTGTAGCAGATGATGTAATATCGGATGTGGTCTGGTAGAAGAATGAGTAATTCCCTTCACATTGACCAACTCTGGAAGGCAACTGCTTATCATAGATGAGTTGAAGGCATTTCAAAGTGTTTGGTTGGGAGAGTCTTAGCAATAGTTCTATCATGTTCCGTGTAAGGTTCATCCAAACCTTGTACGGCGACGGTCTTCAGAAGTGCTTCTATGGCGACCAAGTGCCCCGCAGAAGAGCTGAGGGAATTTATTCCAGATTCCCACACTCGCTCACACAGGGGTATAACGTTGGCAAGGGTTGAAGCGGCTTTGATCTGAAGTCACGTTAATCGCTCATTGAGAATAACCATCCAAATCTAGCATAGAGACTCCAACCACCTTTTGGAAAGCGAAGACTCAGCATCCTTTCAAATCGTTATCCAGTATTCGTGGAAATCAATTATCAACAAAGACAAGCCATTGATATTGCATCGCGATCAGTCAGTAGCATTTTCACTAGAATCGACTTACGATGTGGTGGCTGGCACCTCCGCTCTACATTTTAATGGCATCTATAAGTGAGTGAATCTTCTTGCAACATCAGTACCGAGTGTTGTGGGCAAGCAAAACCCCATGCAGGGTAGGTTTATCAGAAATGAATGCCACAACCAAACCGAAAAGAAAGGATTGGTCTGCTAGACTATCTAACATTTTTGGGTAATCTTAATAAGGGAATTTCATGCATTTGAATGCCTCAAGCTTAATTTTCCATGATAGACCTTAAAGGGCTAGATTGTTCACAAATAAGCTGTTGATTTTAATCCATTCGCACTGCCTTTTACGGCGTGTATTGGCATCCTACCACATATAATTCGCTATTCAACTGGATTCCTTCCTTCCACTTAAGAATTGCGGTGGCTAGTAGTATGGGGTATTGGGTGTCATGATTGGATTTGAAGATGGTTGACGATAATTATTAATGACGAGTGATAAGAGCTACTTAAGAACCGTCAGAAGGGAGGGCTAGAATGCGAAGGAACTGTCAATAATTGCTAAGGGAGGATAATGGGTGATAAAATGCAAAAGTCATCTAATCTATCCTCCCTTATCACCGGTGCAATCAAGAGCTTTGAAGAGTATGATGTATAGAATGGCTGAATCGTGAAGAGGGAACGTTAGGATTGATAGCGACTGATAAGCGTAGGTTCAGGAGCGTCAGAAAAGGGAAACTCTTCGGCCTCTTACTCTTTGGCGTCTACGGGGTTGAACTAGTAAGAGTTGAGAATCATAGGGTTGATGTGATTTGAAAAAGTGGTAGCAACAGTGGTAAGTGTTGATAAAGAGCAGTGCCATTAATGGACTAAAGTCTTCTTTCATTCCTACAAACACTTTTTCATCCATAGCACAGATCATAGCTCAGAGATGGGGTTTCGTCTGGATTCGTCCTTGAGCCGCATCACGTCCTGCGTTAACAACTGCGTCCGATTCGTTCTGCACGACAATATTCATGGAGAAACTGGAAAATGAGAAGGCTGCTAAGGAAAGTGGTGAGGGAAAATAGGGATGAAAACCCTCGGAGCAGCTGAAAAGATACTGAAGCAAGCGTAGTCAGTATTTTGCTATGCGGGCTCGAAAACCAGCAATACTGAGCTTGAGTCAAGACCTGAGGACCTCTTTTGAGGTCTACCTCATGCAATTTGGAGAAAGGGAGGACAATATTCCCACTTTTATAAATATATTCACATATTTTCTACTGTTTTTTTAGTTATTCACCGATTCAAAGCCACTGACGAGGTGGTTCAAAAATCCGATTTAATCAATGTCGCACGTTTCTTAGCGGATTCATTCCAGTCATCTGTGAAGGAAGAACGCTCTTTATGTGCTTCGTGAGCAAAGCCTCTGATTTGGAGGAAAAAAATCGCTGTGATAGACTATTTATAGAGAGCAATGAAGAAGTCATTAGGCATCCGAAGCTATATGACGTAAGGCATCCAATTTTCGCCAACGTTAGGAAATTGCTTCCTGAATCTTCCGCACGATGTTAAGACTTAACTGGTGCAACTACAAAGGGGTTAGAGCAATTCTAATTACAAAAAAAAGATCACCGAATCCTGGCCTCGAGATCTCTTATTTGCAGGAATTACAAGCGAAAGCCTCGCTCTTTTTTAGTAACTTGAGCTAAGAGTAATTTCTAGCTTTTCCTACGACATGCAGATCTGATGGTCCTTTGATGCACCAATTGTCATCAAGTTCTTTGTTCTCTACCCTAAGCCAGTTTTGATATTATGATTTCCGTCTGCATAGAAGCTTCGAAAATCTTTCCAGATGGGCAGTTTTTATCAATTGGTCAACAGTTCGATGTCACCATCCTTGCCAGGGGCTAAAATGATCAGACAAAAAGACAACTCTTCCAATTTTCATGGAAATCTAAAATTCTTTTTTACTTAACTATCAGAGTGATTAGTGTAGTGTAGCTTGGAAATCTGGATTAAAGTTACCGAATTTGTGGCTCGATCGGAAGAATGGGAAGAAAGGACGAGGGTAGATCACTGACACCCCAACAAGCATTCTATCCCTTTTTGGTCAGCAATTGGCATCAGACTGGTTCCGAGGAATAAAATTTTGAACTGACCGGATTATACACTGACTTTTACATGGGCTAGGTTCCACAACAAGTCACATCACGCAACTACCTTCCATTCTGAATAGACGTCGAACGTGGTGCGCACTTTAAATTTTTCTTCTTCTTCTTCTCCTTAGCGTTAATCCCGCGTCGTCCACTTTTCTTGGCAGCCGTCTCCATTTCATTCTACCTACGGCATCTTCAGCCGTCACCTTAGCCTCGGTAAGGTCCTTCTTGATCATTTTTCGCCATCTTTTCTATGGGGTTCCTCGTGGTCGCTTAGATTGAGCCCCGAACTCCATTGCCCTTATCAGATGACTCTGTGGCCTTCTTACCATTAGTACATGCCCGAGCCATCGCACGCGTTTTTCTCTCATCTCAGTTGAACTGGGGCTGTATGCCAAGGCGTCCTGACGTTTTCATTTCTGACGCGATCCAGTCGCGTCCAGCCGCAGGCGCATTTGTGCATTCTCATTTTGGCGAAGTGAAACTGTTCTTCGTGGGTCTTACTCCAGAACCATGCTTCCTTGTCTCCTCGAGAACCACCTTGTGATTCCCCCAGCGTTTCCTCTGCACATCGCAGGATGACCTCTACAGCGTTGCTCCAGGTCTGCTGATTCGGCCTTTTGGTATCTGAACGTCCAGCTTCCAGTATTTCCTCTTTGAGGTGTTCTCTTTCAAATCGGTGCAGCTTGCACCATTGGATCCTCCGTTCCGTTCTTGTCCTTAATTTCTTGGGGGGATCGATGACTATGTCTGCTAGGGGAGGCTTGTGTTGTAGAACCAGAATTCCTCCAGGCAGTACCTTTATGTCCTTTACAGTTTAGAGGTACGATCTTCTTTTTAGCATATGATCTATTTTCTTTTCCTCCCCTCCACTGCTGCAGGTCACCTTCTGAGACTTCACGAAGAAAGAGCTGCAGACTGCCAAGTCGTGGGCCAGGGCAAAGACCCTCTCTCCTTTTCCGTTTTTAACTCCCACTGAGATAGGCTTCTTCGGAACTGATCGGATGGCCTCGTCAAGGCTCAGAGAGTACTCATCTTTTTCGTGGAAGAGGCAGCCGGCTTGAGTTCGCACACTGGTATTATTGTCCAGTACCGAACCATCCTGTCTATCCCCACAGCCATGATTCGACTGTTGATCTTTTTGATGGTGGCATCAGAGTCTTTAAGGGAATCTGCCACTGCTATGGTCACATTTCGGTTGGCGTCTTCTTCATGCCCCGGCAGGGACCGAACTCGCGCTCCCTCTGAGTGCAGACGTGGGCCTACATTCTTATCCTAGCCGCAGCGCATCCCGAACAAGAATGACTACTTTATCTTCTATCTTTCAATGGTGGCTCCGTAGAACAAATGTGAGAATAACCCGTGAATCTTTCAGAGGATAAAAGGCGCAGTAATGTGGATGAATGTATCGATAATCAATTCGGATTTAGAACGATTGAACGAACATGATTCTGTAACGTTTCCTCCGCGTGAGTGATTAATTTTCCAAACATTCTTCTTTTTTCTTGGTTGAAGGAGCTCCGTTAACCACTTCGTGGGCGGAATGGATGTAATAGCCGCGTTTTTTTCCATTCTCTTCGTCACTCTATAATCCTAGGAACTTCACTAGCGATGCTATTGAACCACCTTCCTACTCCCTAATACCCAAGCGTCACTGTTTCATGAAAATTCGATTGAAAATTTATAGAGCGTCAAACGGTATAAGATTGCATTAGCGGGCCTAGCAATTCAACAGAATCGTCCTTCTTAACGGATAAAGTTTCACCGCTCAAAGGCCAGTGCGCGATAATTTCGAAATAAGCTAATTTTAAACCAAGAATGGTAGTGATATTTTAGAGTATTGCAAAAGTAGCGAAGAAAACACGAAATCTGGCGTTTTTGGAGAAATATGAAGCTCCAAAAAGTAGTAAAACCAGAGTTTGGACGAGAATGTGACGACAAAGTTGCATCACGAATGTTTGGACGAGCAGTCCAAATATGCGTGCCATTGCGTAGAACTGGCTACAGCGAACTAGCTGAGTGCAAAGTGTGCCTCCCAGAGGGAATGGTACAACATCTACAGCCTATCCGGCGCCACAAGAATTCACCCTTTTGAGGTTGTACGTTGGCTGAGAAGAATCGGCACCTATGTTATGTCGATTTTGAGCGAATTCCCAACCCCACAGCGTCCTTTGAGCTACTCTTTGGAATCAATGATGACAGATTATCCTCTCAGAAATCCCTTTTATCGTGAACTGTGCCGTCACGCGAACAAAATCCATTGTGGCCACAGACAACTGTCAGAAGCAATGAAGCGGTTGAAAATGTGCATATGGGCAGGATATAAAGTTTGATTCACTCTCAAATCTCTGTTATAGGTTCACTATTAATATTAAAGAATAATAAAAAGCTCAAAACCATGCCAAGGCTCGAAATACAAGACCCATTCTCGTCCGAAATTGTTATATGGGACAATCCACAACTAGACACGTCGCCAGTGTTGAACGAATGCAAGATTAAGAAATGCCCCGACCGCCTAATGGAACATATCCAAATGCCATTCAGTACGTTGCAGTCATCTTTCGTCAACTATAGAAGTTCATACATGGCATAGCTTATGCTGATGTATTCGCTTCCCAGAGAATCGCTTATACCGCTTGGAACGATTGCCAAGTGTCCCAAGAGTGCCCGCTAACTCGGTTCTCACAAGTAATCAGAGGTTGTGTATCCGCTCGATCGCCGAACGACATAGGGTAGTAGTAAAGCTGGGTAGCCATTAGTACAAACGTAGAAAGGTAATGAGGGCTTCAAGCCAAAAGGAACAGTTTTGATCAGTGCTCTGGGAAAATGAACTTAGACTTCCCACACAGACTGTGTGGGTGTAGCTTGTCACAGAAGCGGTCACTACTCCGTTATAATGTGTAGGTTCCCTAAACCCATCCTAACACGGCTTCGTAACTGCAGATGACCTCCTTCTCAACCTTGAATGACTTTGATATTTCAAGACAGAATCGAATAGACAAACCTCGAATGAGCACCATTTGACCGGTTCTCTTATGCAACAAATGAGAAGCCTAACACTCAAACTTTCATGAATTAAACTTTTCTGCCGTGCTCTTATATATTCCGGTGTAATAATCAGCTTTTTCCAGCATGCAGCTATCAGTTGCCCATACCTGAAGGATGCCTGAACGTGTATGGGGATTTTGATTTGACAAACTTCCATGAATCATTTGATCAAGTCGAATCTATTATCGGTACAATGACGCTGAGCTCAAGCAACTTGACATCGTTTCCAAAGCTGAAAAATCTTCGTGCAATACGACAACGGAATGACGGTCCTGTTATCATAATAGAGAATAATCCCGAACTTCGTGACGTGAAAGCGTTATATTCTCTGGACGTGTACACTAGAAATGCTGACAATGCGGTTCATGTGGCAAACAATACAAACCTCTGCATCAACTTCACAGACTTGGACCAGAAATTTCCTTTGCATTATCTGGGATATGTTGATCGATGTAGTAAGTCATTTCCGCCCATATTTGCTGTTTCGATAAAGTTTCGAACCTATCATACCTGGGGGGGGGGGAGAAGGGCGCGCGTTTCACGCGTGACCCCATTAGAGCTCTTCGCGCACGCAGCATCGTTTCAGTAGCTTTCTGTTGAGATGGACCAAAAATTTGCAGTAGTCCACGGCTTCACCATGAATAGAACAA